TAGAGCTTTTTTTTAATATTAATAATATTATTATTATAAGAATATTTATTATAATAAATAAAGAAAATTATATAATTGTATATATAATTTTATTATATAAATATCTATTATTATTAATTAAAATAAAAAGTATAAAAGAAATATATTAAGATTATCTAAGTTAATATAAATAAGATAGCTACTAATAAACTAATAAAGCTATTATTAAAAAGAAAGTTTTCTATTTTTATTAATTAGTTTAAGTTTATTAATATAAACTATTTTATTAAAGAAAGTAAAGTTTAGCTACTAGATTTAGATTTAAAATAGCTTTACTTATTAATTAAAAAATATATTAGAATATTTATAAAGATATAGAAATAAAACTTAATTTAGATTTAATTAGATAATCTAATATTATTAGATATTATAAAATTTTAAAAATACTATTATAAAATAAGCTTTTTTAGATAGTAGAGAATCTTCTAAAATTATATTAAAATTATATTATAGAAAGAAAAATATTTTAAAAATAAGAACTAGTTTTAACTAGGATTTATAATATAGAATTATTTTAGTAAAAAAGAAATTACTAGGATAATTTCTATAGAAATTAGCTTACCCTTTCTAATATAAAATAGAAGGTAGTAAAGGCTAATTTCTTCTTATTTAGTTAATATATTAATAGCTCCTTCTATAATTATTTAATAGTATCTACTCCTTTGGGCTGGTGCAGAGATAGTTATAAGTGGGGATCTAGGAACATCTACTTCGTAGTCCAGTTAAAGATTCTTTAACTTCTAATAGTAATTTAGAGGCATTTAGTTGTTGTTATTAGGAGCCTGGCCCCTGCCCTTTCTGTAGGTCTTGGATACTTTCGATGGATGAACTGGACTGAGAGCGGTGTGTGTTATATGACGAGATTGTCCACCTTCACTAGCTGTATGGCCGCGCCATGGAATCAACGCAGTGAAGGAGTCATTAGCCTCGCCATTTGGTAGTGGAGATCTGTTGCTGGCACTAGAGAGGCGGCTATAATTTGATTCGGCCTGTAAAGGAGATTTGGATAGGTTCTGACTTGGCGGCGCTCTCCCGGCTGCATCTCCGTGGTCCTCCTGAGACACGAACAGGGCCATTACACTTTAGCTGAGGAATCTGCCTTGAAGCCGTACGGGCATCAATGCCGCCCTGCTTTTGCGGCTGCATACATTGGCGGCGAATAGATCAAGCTGAGTGAGGCGGTGGCAGTGCTGCAAGCCCTTGAAGCTGAGACTGCTATTCAGCTCTCGAATTTAATATCGCAGCGATCTGCCAGAGCCTCCTCGAATATTCTATTTATCTTCAATTTCTTGTTTAAGGTATCACGACGTCTTCTTTCTGTCGGAAATCTCTTGATACAGAGAAATTTTTTGGCGATCACTAGGATGTCCACTTACGAAGTCCCTGAGAAGATTCCTCCGGCGTCTTCTCTACTGCCGCCAAAAAACAACTCACCTTCCGAGACTCGGGAGGAGAACGTCAACACTGGATTCCCCAGGGAGACCTGCTCGTCACCTTCCATATCCCTTCCTCGGGCTAGACCTAGTTACCAACGGCCTACAAGTAGCTACTCGCTGCCAGAACTCTATGAAGAATGGAGTGGTGAGGGGACATGACTGCAAATGAACCATCGCGCATACTAATACGAACATAGCAGCGCCGACCAAACCGCCAAGCGGACTCAGACATTACCACACCAGGAAGGTTAAGTTGGTGCAAGGAAATGTCCTAAGCATCGAGTACCCAGTTCCAAGTGCGATAAAAAAATGCCGTGCAGGCAAAATACCAGCATGTTGAGGGAAATAGCAGAGAATTTTCCTCGATGAGATGTGAGTGCGCCACCAATGGAATTTATAACTACTAACAATGAAATAAAGACACAGCCATTACTTGCGATGCAAATGATTTCACATTGAAGGATGGTTACGACCTTCGACCGAGGATGTACAACCGGTATTCTGAGCTTCTGGTCTGCATTACTTACTATAACGAAGACAAGGTGCTTCTTACCAGGACGATACACGGTGTTATGCAGAACATCAGAGATATCGTAAACTTGAAGAAGTCGACCTTTTGGAATAAGGGTGGCCCGGCCTGGCAGAAGATTGTGGTTTGCGTTATAATGGATGGCCTGGAGTGCTGCGACAGAGACGTGCTGGATATTTTCGCTACCATGGGAGTTTATCAGGATGGGGTCATGATGCGCGATGTTGACGGCTCCACGACCCAGGCGCACTTGGTGAGTCCGTCATCAGGATTTGGATGTCTAGCGATTGGAGCACTTACGGAGATATAGTTCGAATACACAACTCAGCTCTCCGTAACACCTTCGATGCTGCTGGTCAGGCCGCGTGATGACAATCCTTCCACACTACCCCCTGTACAGTTCATGCTGTGCGTCAAATCCGTAAATGCAGGGAAGATTAACTCATATCGATGGCTGTACAATTCATTTTGTCGTATTCTAAATCCAGAAGTCGTCATCAACCTCGACACTGGCACAAAACCTGAGCCAAAGTCACTTCTCGGCTTGTGGGAAGCTTTTTATAATGATAAAGACTTGGGCGGCGGGTGTGGGTTGGTTCGAGGCGAGAAAGGGAAAGGAGGGCGATATCTGCTCAACCCCCTCGTCGCTGCACAACACTTCGAATATAAAGTGGCATGCCAGCTGGAGAGAGCACTCGAATCCAGCACGGGATATATCTCTGTTCTTCCTGGCGCCTTTTCCGCCTATAGGTAATGTCAGCTTACCCTTCATGAACCCGGGATTCCTCTAACAAAATCCCAGATACCGAGCCATTATGGGGCAGCCGCTTTCCGAATATCTCCGTGGAGACCCAACCCTTCACCAACATCTTGGTCAATCTGCCCCAAGTAATGTCCTCCAGCTGAACAGATATCTTGCGGATGACCGCATCCTTGCTTTTGAACTCGTCTTCAAGGCTGGACACAAGTGGCACACACGTCTGATCAGCAATGCTGAGGCAGTGACAGACGTACCCATGAACACCACTGACTTTATTAACCAGCGACGGCGCTGGCTGAATGGGTCCTTCTCAGCTACAGTGTACTCCTTACAAAGATTCTACCTTCTCTTCAAGTCAAGCCACAATCCCATTCGATTTATCGCACTTCTTGTTCAGATGCTCTACAATCTAGCCGCCCTGCTGCTCGCATGGTTCTCTCTAGCAGGATTCCTCCTTACGATTTCCGTTGTAAGTGATATAGCTGGCAACCCACCTGAGGATGCGCCAGTGGAGGGATTTCCGTTCGGTCGCGCAACACCGATAGTCAACGCGGTCATCCAGGTCACCTATTTCGCAACCGTCATTCTTCAGTTCATCTTTGCCCTCGGAAGCCATGCGAAGACTCATGCTCTACACTATGCTGTCTCATTCGCAATTTTTGCTATTGTTCAGCTCTACCTTTTCATGAATCTCATCTATCTCTCTAAACGATTGATCGATTTTAAGGCTGATACCAACGGCGGTAGTTCCTATAACTACATTAATGAGTACTACACGGATGTCGGGCCTCTGACCGTTCTGGTTACGGCCGTCTCCCTTTTTGGCATCTACATCGCAGCGGGACTGCTGTACTTTGACCCTTGGCATCTCCTTGTTAGTTGGGCACAATACATGTTCATCTCAAGCTCTTACATCAACATTCTCAAGACTTACGCCTTCAGCAATATACACGACGTCTCCTGGGGCCATAAGTCTGGTAAAAAGCCGGCCGCGGCTCAAATATCGGTGGCGATAAAGACCAATAGTGAAACGGAGGCCCCTATAGAGGAAGTTGACAGGATACAAGGGGACATCGATTTAGCGTTCGAACAGACCGTCAGAAGAGCCCTTTCGCCTTACGACCGAGAAGTTGCCGAAGATGACGATCCTCAGGAAAAGTTCATGAGGTTCCGCACGACACTGGTGGCCGTCTATATTTTCTCTAACTTTCTGGTTTGCCTTATTGTCATGAACGATTCTATTCGCTCCTTTTCCTTCCTTGGCGATCCATACTGGCACAAAATCTGGTTCTTTAGAATTTGGATGTGGGGCAATTCAAGCATTTTGATGATGCAGTTCCTTGGATGTCTTGTGCAGAGGTTTACTGCCATGGTCGGGTGTTGTTTTGCCCGTCGCTAACTTGATGGGAAATGAAAGCTTTTAATCTCTAGACTTTTGTCTATGAGTCTCGGAATAATCGCTGATTTCCTCCGCTGCAAGTTGAGCAAGAGGACGCCCTGGATATTGGCTTGGGTGGCGACAGCGGGACGAGAATTATCATCGCGTTAATAGCTATCTTCTTCTCAGTATACAGAGAGTGGAAGGTCATTACACCTAGACCAGCCTCTTCAAATGCATGAAAAGAGGTAATGAGGTCGTCTGCATTGTTGATAGCGGTACTTTAAGAACTAGTTTCGTTCGGTTTATATAACATTTTAATTATTTACAGGGGATCTGGGCGTAGAACTAACCGGCCAACTCCTGACGCTTTTCTTAAAGATAATATATGCAAGCAGCCCGGATACACTTAAGTTATCACCCATGGCATGTAGATAGTAGCGCACTTAGACAGCATATATTATTATTATTTAATTAATATTTTATAATTATAATATAATTTTACTAATAAAATATATATTAATTTATAATTATTTATATAAAATATATTATTATTTTAATTATTAAATTTTTTTTAAATTTAATTATTTTTAATATTTTTAAAAAATTAAATATATTAATTTATAATTTAAATTTTATTTTAATAATAACTATAAATATTAAAAGTTATTATATTATATAAAAATTATTATAAAAAGTTATTATTAAAAACTTTTTTTCTTATAAATATATAAATTTTTTATAATTATATATATAATTTTATATAATTAA